TCCTCGATGAAACGGGAAGACAGATTTGAGATTACGAAGCACTTAAGGGGAGTCGTGTCGGGGCTCACCGATTCAAAGTGGGTATCACCACAACAAAGGTGGCGGTTGTACCGGACAAACATCTCCCTTCCGGAGCAAATGGCTGACATTGAGTTGCATCCAACCCGACTCTCCTCAGGTCATGCCAATTTTGCATTCATATCACTCTTTGTCCTTTCTTGTTCCTTGCTTATATTTAACTTTTTCATGCATGCTGCCCAGTTCATCCCTTGTGCATCTCTTGTCAGACCTGTTTTCAAATACTCATCTGTTTCCCAGTCTGCTAGTCTTTTTCTCAGATCCATACATAGTCTATCATACGAGTCTTTTATTTTCCAGACGTCTTACTCGGCCCATTTTCAAGCTTATGCCAAATCAATCACACAAGTTGCTTGCCAGGCATTTTCCCAAGCTCATGCAACGTCAATTTCTCACTCGTTTCTCTTCTGGACATCTTGCCAAGCCTTTTCTTAAGCCTGCGCAAAGTCAATTACTCATTCATTCTTCTCTTCTGGATATCTTGCCAGACCTTTTCTCAAGCTCATGCAACGTTAATTACTCATTCATTCTTTTCTTCTGGACATCTTGCCAGACCTTTTCTCAAGCCTGCGTAAAGTCAATTACTCATTCATTTTTTTCTTCTGGACATCTTGCCAGACCTTATCTCAAGCCTGCGCAAAGTCAATTACTCATTCATTCTTCTCTTCTGAACATCTTGTCAGACCTTTTCTCAAGCTCATGCAACGTTAATTACTCATNTCATGCAACGTTAATTACTCATTCATTATTTTCTTCTAGATTTCTTGCCAGACCTTTTCTCAAGCCTGCGCAAAGTCAATTACTCATTCATTCTTTTCTTCTGGACATCTTGCCAGGCCTTTTCTCAAGCCTGCACAAAATCAATTGCTCATTCATTCTTTTATTTTGGTCATCTTGCCAGGCCTTTTCTCAAGCCTGCGTAAAGTCAATTACTCATTCATCCTTACGCTCATGGTATCCTTCTCTTTTGCACGTTTTTTCTTCGGTAGATGGCACACCTTCCCCCCACTCAAAATGCGATGTCCTCATCGCACGACTAGTTCTCACTCGGAGGTACGCAACCTTTAACCCACCAACGAGTAGGCGGATGCCGGCCCATCAGCCCCCCAAAGGAAGGGTGATCAATCCTCCCCCCGCTGAGAATTCACTTCATCCCCTTACTCCGTCCGATCTTTTGCTGCTTACGAGACGGGCGTCATTACTGAGGTACCTCCTTACATCTGGAAGGCAGGTCCAGTCCAAGCCTCCCAGGACCCCGTCTTGTCGTAAGGGCTTCCTCGCGAATCGTTCCTCCCGAGTGGTAATTTTATGGATCCGACCTCTTCCTTTCAAGAGAGTTGGGGCTCTCAATTAGTCCACGAGTGCAGTTACGAAGACCTCACAATTAGTCCCGAAGCGGTTGTAATGCTCCGGCGTGGCGGTGTCAATGCCCCGTGGTGGTTGTGGCTTCCACCCGGTACCACGCTCAACTCCTCCCTCTGGACAGTGCTGCTCAATTTAACGCGAGCCGCCGTGGTCCATTCCAAGCGGTCATGCCGCCCCTCAACGACATGGCGTGTGGTTGGGGAGAACAAAAGAGACTAGAAAAAAAAAGAATGACTCTCTCGCCCATTTGGTTCCCTCACCCTTTGATGTTTAGGCGTTCAACACGAGGCGCAATTTGAACTTCCCGGTTAGAGCTCGTTGTCGAGGTTAGTTCCGGACGTCCCGCACCAATCCAAGCGGTAGGTGCCTTGGTCTTTTAACCCTCAACCTCTTACAAGAGGAACAGGTCGCGCTGAGACTTTTTCCCTTACAGGGATAGAGGTCTTAGGGTCGCGGTGCGAGCACCGGTATCCCCCCTCCTGGTGAGGCCAAAGACTAGAAAAAGAGAAAATCAATTTCAAGGCTATTTCCAAGTCCATTTCAAGTTGCCTAGGGTCCCCTGCCTATGCAATGCAATATTAAATCCTTAATCATTCAATCCAATGCTATCTCCAAGGCTGATTCTCATGGCTGGTCTTGATAGCCTCTTATCAACAAGGCCACCCCCATGGCCGGTCTGGCGGTCATTCTCTCAATAACCATTTCTTAAGACTGACCCTTCCGCTCACTTAATCCTCAATTTTCTCATTCCTCAACACCCAATCTCTGTGACCGTCCCAACGGTCCCTGCCCCTCTTGGCTTTAAGGTTCCGCCTCTTTTATTCACATTTTTCTCCAGCCCCCTTGGCAATTTTCAGTGGCCGACCCACCGGCCTTTTCCATTTCCTCCATTCAACTCATCGGCTATTTCAATGACCGACCCACCGGCCTTTTCCACCTCCCACATCCATCCTTTGGCTATTTCAATGACCGACCCATCGGCCTTTCCCATTTCTTTCATCCCATTGGCTATTTCAATGACCGACCCACCGGTCTTTTCCATCTCTCTCTTCCCATTGGCTATTTCAATGACCGACCCACTGGTCTTCTCC